GCTGGGATGCATCTCCCTGTGGGGGTCAGAGCTCCCTTTGGGTGTGCTCCATCCTTCACTGCCCCAGTGGCTTTTCAGATTTGTGCATTTACCTGGGACAGCCACCCCCTTGCCTTCTCTTCCAGGACAAACTTCCCTGTGGCAGCTCCACACCACGCTCTGCAGTGTCCTCCAGACCATTTGTTGGTTTGGGAGATGTCCTACTCAAAGGCATTTATTTTAAAAGGCTGCCTGTATTGAATCATAATTCGAAGTCTTCCTCCAAAAAAGGCACATTCTGATGCAAAGCCTTACACTAATGGCATGCAAATTTCAGCAGGGTAACAAAACTGACCCAGCCATATCAACAGCACCTGGAGGGAGGGGTACCTGTCTGGGTTGTTGCCACATCCCCATCATTGGGCCAGTCTGAGGGGCTGCAGAAGACCCACAGACCTGAATTCGTGTCTCTCCCAGTAAAAACCTGGCACTGGGCTTCCTGGAGGAAGGTGACTTCTCTGCTAACTTGACCTCCCTTGTCTTCTGCAGGCAAATTGGTAATGATTGTTACTGAATACATGGAGAACGGCTCGCTAGACACCTTCCTCAGGGTAAGGAGCAAGCTGGTGTTTTCATTCACTGCACGTCCCCCGGGGCTGGTTCCTGCTCCTCAGCCTCACAGCCACTGAAACCCCAGTGCTGGGGGGAGCTGTGGGTGCTGGGCTCTCACCTCTCCAGCAGACACGGGCGCCAGGCATCGTGTCTGGCTCCCTGCAGTGACACCGCAAAGGCAGGGACAGCTGCCTGAGCACGTGTCAGAGGCACTGAGAGGGCAGGAAACGGGCAGGGCACAAGCAGAAGGCACTGGGGGTGAGGGGGTACTAAGCCAAAGATGAGAGGTGCTGGGGGTTTGATGACAGGACGGTGGTGAGCGCCACGGAACAAACTCTGGGTTATTTCCTTTCCAGAAACACGACGGGCAGTTCACCATCATCCAGCTGGTGGGGATGCTGCGGGGTATCGGGGCGGGCATGAGGTACCTGTCTGACCTGGGCTACGTGCACCGGGATCTGGCCGCCCGCAACATCCTGGTCAACAGCAACCTGGTGTGCAAGGTGTCCGACTTCGGCCTCTCCCGCATCCTGGAGGATGACCCCGACGCTGCGTACACCACCACGGTGGGTGGCTCACAGCGCTGGTGGCTGCTGCCCCAGGCCACTGCCACATGGGAGAGTCAGAGACTCTCAAGTCAAAATTGGTAGGGCAGGAATGGCGATGTCACCTCCCGCTGATGTCTGGGCCAACAGCTCAAAGCCAAAGAGCTCCTGAGCCCTGATGTGTTGTCCTTCACATGGGGACATCCCAGAACGGAGTGTGCAGTGAACAAAGAGCAGCAGGATGGGAGGGCAGGGAGTTACCAAACATCCCCATTGCTCCCATGGGTGCAATCTCAGCAGGGCTTAATCTGCTCCTCATCCTTGTGAGATCAAAACCTTGGAGGGACTGGGGGTTTGGGGAGGGTGAAATAAACCCAAACCCTGTGTCCTCTGAGGACACTCTGTGTCCTCACTGGAGTCCCTCCCTAGGCTGTGTAGCTCCATCCACTCCTCACTTATCCTAGAGCCATCAATCCACAGCAGGGTATTCTGGTCCACCCTTCAGCATTGTGGCCACACACTGGATTTTCCATCTGACTCTGCCTCATTCATGGATGTGGAAAAGGTGAGAATTGGTTCTGCAACCTGTGGTTTTATTTCATGCAGGACACTTTTG